TAAGAGCCGCTGGAGAGGGTTCAAAGAGCCATATGTGGCTCTGGAGCCGCAGGTTGCAGACCCCTGCTATAGATGGTATTAAAGTAAAAAAAAAAAAAAAAAAAAGAGACAGTAAACAGTTGCTATCAAAATCCATGGTAAAAACTAATTGAGCCAGATCCAATAACCGCACTTTGCACTAATGTTAGAGCTTCAAATTGCCAATCATTTTCAACTCTATTGGCTTGTCGTTTAATCCTTACTAACTGGAAGTCCCCCTCCCCTCCAAAACATTCTCACTGGGTGAACAATACCATGTAATTTCTTCAGCTTGAAAAGATCAGGATTACTGTCCAACATTCCCTTTTTGGATTATAATGAAAAAAGGTTTGATGCAGATTCAGTTTGCTTTATAGTTGTTTCTTTTAAAGGAAAATATATTTGATATATATACATGTAAACTCAATTTTATTTTGACTAGTTATCATCTTGTGGTGGTGATGGTAAACATAGCTGTATACAACAGTTTTGTCCTTGACTACTTGCCCCAATATGTTAACAGTGTGCATTGACCTGTGTCTTTTGTATTTACTTATTGCTCAAATTATAAAAAACATTTTGAAATGAAATCAAAATCCAAGTTCTAGAAGGCTTGCCCAACGTCGGTCCTCGAGGGTTGTTTCCCTGCAGGTTTTAGAGGTATTAGAGGATGAATCTGATGACTGCAGTTGAATAAATCAGCTATCAATGGAAATCAGCTGTCCTGAAGCAGGGAAACCTCTTGAGAAGTTTGAGCAGGCCTGAACCAAGAAGCAGTTATTGTTTAACAAAGCTCTCTGCAGATTATGTCCCAGGTGGGAGCAATCAATACATCTCCATGCCATGTGTTTGTTCTGCCCAGCCACTGAACGAGGTGAGTCATAGATGACATACAGATGAATTGATGGCTCCACATCTCCCACCTATGTAACGTCCTGTTATCTACATTTCATTCTATTAGCACTCAGTTTATTGGGTAAGAGTAGAGAAGAGTTTGTAAGACGCCTCAACAGTTAAAAACATTCTTCAGAGTTCTTCCAACCTTCTCAAAACGCAAAAAATATGAAATTGCAATATGGTGGAGCTATGATTTATCATTATGTTATTGTTATATATTCCACAGGAACACATTTTTCTTTTTTTTTTACAGGCTAAGTAGCTTGTATAGTCTATTGCTAGCTATAATCAACATCAGACAAAAGTAACAATCAACTCTTTAACCTAAATGAATCAGTTCTTACTGTGGGGAAAGAAGTTGGTTCTTTATAACTAAACATTCGATCAAAAAGTGTGACCAGAATAGAAACGTCCTTTGTTTCGCTACAGTGGGAGCATGCAAGTGTTTTAGGAGCAGAGAAAAAAAGACAGTAAAGAAAACATAAACAGACAAGACCATATAAAAAGAACAAATCAAAGAAGTTAAAAATAGGCCGACAGGATACAGAAAGTAAAAGGACGTCAAGCTGCTGCTCTAAAATACTAACCAGGAGAGATGCCACAAGAGAATCCAAGAGGTTTTTCTGAAGCGCTCCCTTCACTCCAAAAGATTCCCGTCGCCTCAGTAGGTAGCGTATGCTTCCCTTAGTGATAGGTATTATTTAGCAAAAGATATTAGATCAGTCAGTCTCTAATCATGACAATAACTTATTTATATGTTTTCAATCTAATTACTGTGGCCAATTAACGTTGACATATTTTTTCACTGTTATTTCAGGTTGACATTTATGAACCTTTAGTTCCAGCACATGGAAAGTGAGAAAACTAAACAGTGTTGGTGAGGGAGCTGACCAAACCATAGAAATCGTAAGCTTAGATTTGCTTCATTCTCCTCTCTTTTATTTTCTCACATAGTCATTTGATAAATGACTATCTTAATGATACACTAGATTACACAAATGACTAATTTTATCTGGTCGTGTCATCTGTCTTCCTCCCTGGCACTGAAACACAGTGGCAGTGTGACGGTCCATCAAAAAGCCATATATCTGTCAAACCCTTGTAAACATTCTGTGGTCTTCATGGGAAAGTCTCTGCGTACAGGACCTGTGGGAGGGACAGCGGAACCATTGGGATGTTTCATTTCAGCAAACAGAGCAAACAGTCAGAGGATTTCCTCAATCAGAGGCGACAGAGTGTGCAGTGAACAAGCTTGCTGACAGAAACATAGAGGCCAGACCCTGCAGCTGGGCATGCTAACAACCTCTGGGATTTACCTCAGTAACACGCTTTAGCTGCAACACCAAGAGGCTAAATGCCGACAAACATCCCCACTACGCTTGTGTCACATTTGCACCAAATATCAAGCCAATAATAAAGAAAAAACACCCTTAATTCCTCTATCAACCCTGTAGATTGTTTTCTGCTGAAATTCTATTTTGCATGAGCAGTTTGGAAGAACTTTAAAGCTCCCCTGTGTTTAATGAGTTGGATTTTATAAAATGCAGCACTGAAATATCAGCACATCTGTCTCTGACTGATATTCCAGGAATGTGGAGAGTTGTGCTTTTACATTTGATGTTTATGTCCTGCTCTGAGTTTACTCTGGGTCACAGAACTAAAACAGCTCACAGCTGCAGCCCCTGGTGTCCAGTGGGAGGTGGCTGGGAAAAAAAAAATCCACATTTTCACTAATATTCATTTGTAAAATTTCTGTCGCATTTCTTCTGCCGTACCAGCTGCTGCTGAGTGAAGTATTGTTTTTTATGCAGATGGGGAAATCCAAAGGACCTCACTCTTCCCTTTTCCATAAAGTCCCTCTGCTATTAATAACCATATATCGCCCTCCTTTGTCAACAGGAGCGACACATACAAATAATACGGTTGAGAGGGAGACAATGGATAGTTCCCTGTGGCAAAAACAACAGGATGAGCTTGACACATATGTGTGTGAGTGTGTATGTGTTTGTGTGAATGATTAATGTCATTCTGCTGTTAGAAGAAAGAGCTCAATAACCTTCATAAACCTTTTTCATTTCCCCCAAAAGTTGTACATGACTCTTTATGCTCTTGTGATTGATGTGTAGCCAAAGGGGGGAAAAAAACGGATAGGGTCATTTCCAGATACTCTTACATATAAATTATCAGGCCATTAGGTTTATACAGATTATTTTCTTTGAATGTTATTTTTTTAAGCTTGTTTAATAGAGATGGACCTCTGTGACAAAACTAAGTTCACCCCATTAAATCCTGGAATTTTAGGACCATCTTTTATCTCCGGGTGGATCGTCTATATAAGTGGTCCTCCTAATTATCAATCTGATGATATGTTTATAAAAGGCCATCTTACGTGCTCGTCCCGTTAACTATTTTTCTGCGCATGTGCACTTTCAGGCATATATCTGTGGTGATCAACGGTTTCAGTCACTGAAGCTCACCTTTCTCACCGTTTTCTTTGAAAACGACTGAGGGTCGTAAGAGAAATAGTGTCTATGAAGTTCATGAGAAGAAAAGAAAGGCCTCAGAGGAGGCAGATATATCCCAGAACGATTTGTGCGGAGAGCTCTCGTATCAAAGCATTATGGGATTTGTTGTCACAGCAGCCCGCTGTCGCCATAGGCTGTCGCAGACCGACAACGGTGACTAATAACAAAGATGGCGCGAGCACCGTGTGGTGGAGGAGTTACGTGACCAATGTGGAAAAAAGTAGTAACGGTAAGTTAACTGAGTTCACTATAAAGTCCACTATATAGTCCGACTCTATGTAGTGATTGAGGGATTTAGGGGTTAGGGCGGAGGTTCAGGCACAATAAACTTGTATGAGCTATGAGAACTGCAACTTTTAAACTCTCGCATGTGTTTAAAAGGCATTCCCTCTCAAGAGTGGGTACAGGGTTGTGCATGGGCAATGGAAAATTCACAAAAATCCTCCACAATACCTTTAATTGTTCAAACACTAAATAAAATGTGACAACAAACAGAACTGCAGAACTATTTTGTGACCTGTTTTAATCAGATACGAGCTGCAAGAAGTACTACATCATATTTTCTATGGATGGGAACCCAGTGATGCTGGATCTCCAAATTTTCCACTTCATCCTGATATCAGGGTGTGTTATTTTTGTATCTCCACTTGCAATATGGAAATTCTGAGAGAAAAAAAAAACAAAAAGTAAAAAATTTTTATTTTATTTGCTTCTTTGCGATTAACTTTGGTGTTTCTCTTTTCTTCACCAGCACTGTAAAAGCATGTTTTTATGTTTAAAGCTGCTTGATTCATTCTTTTTTTGTTTTTTTGTTTTAGTTTTTTTTTTAAAGATGAATAGTGTCCATTTTTCATGACTTACAGCTCCAATCATAGGAGGAATTCTGAATTTTAATCTGTATATTTATCTTTCATAGCAATGATAATAGTCTTAAAATTTGGCTTTTAAAATATTGTATTTTTTTTTTATATTGGACAATGAAATTAAAGCAAGTCTTTGTACTCATTACACCAATAATTCCTTAAATACTTGACCACTCAAAGAGCTTCGTACATCAGAGCTACCCTTATCTGCTCAACTTACATGCAAACACTTTCATGCAGATTGATAGGAAGTCAGGAAGTAAGTGCTTTAGTCAAAGAGGCGCCTGCATGTGGCAGAGTAGGAAGCTGTAAGTGAACCCACAACGGTCCCACCAAGGCAAGAGAACAGCTCCAGCAAGGAGAAGAGTTTATCTACTGTAATGTCTAAATACTGGTTTATATCTTTCTGCCTCTCAGAGTTTAAACACAGTGTTTTTTAATCACAATATTTAAAGTTTCACATTGGCTGTTTAGCAAAACATCTTTGGCATAAAATTTTGAAGAATGAATTTCAAATAATCACATAACTTTCCTCTTCTCAAAAGCACTGATTCCATAATGTATTTTTTCACCGAGGGTCCCTGTGAAATATTTCTGTGACAACATACAAAGATTTCAGTCTTGTCAGGCACCACCTGGTGGCATATGTTATGTTATCCATAGATTTACTTGCCAAATCTCGTTTCCTGTTTTCACAGGAAACTGTGACTAAGTTTCAAGTAAATAGAGAAAAATTTCACACTTTCATCGCAAAGACAAGAAGCAAATCAGGTGTAAAACATGTCCTAAGGGATACTGTTTATCATGGTGAGATGTTCTTATTATCCCAATTAAAATGCTTCTGTTCAGCAGTGTTACATTATTTTGTTCTCTGACAGTCTCTGGTTTTATTTTCCTAGCTGCTGTTGATGCATCTCCCAACCACAATCCAACTACGTCGTGAAATTCAAGGAAATTGTGCCAAAGATGTTCTACTAGAGTGTTCAGTTATCAGCAGCAAAGCCTTTGATTTTTTTCCCATTCACGTGGTATAAGGTAAGCTTTGCTCTGCAAGAAAATATTGCTTAGAGATGTCTCTCACCTAATACTGTTTTATAAGACATACTTTTAAATCTTCTTTTTTGTTTTTGTTTTAAACAGGGTGTCACAGCTATTATCAGGATGCGTAAAGAGCACATACAGCCCTTCAGCTTCCCTGATGTTTTTAAGCGGGTGTCCTTCATCTCAGTTTGTTACATCGAAATGATGTGCCTTGATATTTTTGTCCTTTTTCTTGCTTTTTAAAGTAATACATGTCCCACTATCGAGACAACAGAAGAATTGATTATGCATTGAACAGAAGGATTTGAAAACAGAAAATGAAATACATCTAAAGTCATATTTGTTATGCTCCAGTTATTTCACAATAAGAACAGAGGCATGGTCATATTACAGGGTTTCCACTGAGAGGAACAGAAACCATAATGTTATAGTCACACTCAATGTCAAAAATGTATAGAGTCCTTCATGTTTTCTGCTTTAGGTTTCTGATCATCCACCTTTTAAAGACATTCAATTATCTCTACTGGATTCTTAGTAGAGCTGTCATGCTTATAGTGGCATTTTTGCTTGATTCATGCATGTCTGAGTAATCATCATGAATTCATTTTAAAACCATTTAAAACAAGTTAAAATCTCTATAACATGTGGTAATTACTTTTGTTCCATTGCTTATTTAGAGGTAAAGGTGAGCTGATGCAGTTATTGTTGTGACATAAGCTTATCATCTCCTTACTTGAATGAAAACCTGCCATCAAATCCACTGCAGGTGAAAAAACGAACCATTACAATTTAAGTCATAGCTGGAAGGACAGTTTATAAGCCACACATTGGTGGGGAAATGTGACAAGACCACCATCTGGTGGTTAATCCACGCATCTTTTAACATCACCCAAGTGAGAGTTAACTTTGGGACGAGGAGATATTCATTACAAAAAATATTTTGGTTTTGCTAAAGGTTGCATGTGGACTCAAAACAAAATTATTTCAGATTCCTTTAGGTTCTTTTTGTTAAGAGCATCACCTCTGCTACTAGCATTTCAATATAGATCTGGGAAATGGTGGCTTGATTCCAGGGAAGCCTGCACTTTCCCTGCCAATCTCTGTTCCTGAGCAAAAAAAATAAATAAAAATGTAAATCCCTATATTGTCCCAAAATGGGGAAATTCACTCTCCACCTTTGACCCATCCCCTTATGGTGCAGTGAGCTGCCATTGTGTGGCACTCGGGGAGCAGAGTGGGGTTAAAGGTTTTTGCTCAGGAACCCAGAATGCAGGCTGTTGGGATTGAACCAGGTACTTGCGAACTTCTCAGAGCAGAAGTGCACAGCTCTAATGACTAGGCCAACACTCCCTGTACACCTGTATTTTTCTTAAAAACAAATCTTTTTTCTGCGTTTGATTTTTTTTCCAACTCTGTTAATCTTCTCAAAAAAAGGATAAGACATTTTAAATCTTTGTTATGAATGTTTTTTTTTTTTTTTAGTTTTTATGGCACTAGTGGCTTGTACTTTTGATAGTGGGCTGACAGGAAAGGGAGTATGAGAGAGAGGAAGAGAGACATGCAGCAAAGGACCACAGGTCTGATTCGAACCCAGATCGGCTGCGTCGATGACTAAGGCCTCTGTACATGGCTGGTGCGCGCTAACCTCTGTGCCATTTGCAAAACCTTAATGAATGTATTCTAATGCTTTTTATAAATCTTTAGGAGAAATTCAAGAGCTTTTTTAAGACATTAAATTAAAAAGTTGTTTCGTTCTTCCGCTTTATCCGGGGCATGGTCGCGGAAGCAACAATCTAAGCAGAGATACCCAGACTTCCCAATCCACACACACCTCCTCCAGTTGCTCTGAGGGGGCCGCAAGATGATATCAGGCCAGCTCAGAGACGTAATCTCTTCAGCGTGTCCTGGGCCTTCCATTATTCCTCCAGACGTCCCCGAAGCACCTCCCGAGGGAGGCGACCAGGAGGCATCTGGACTAGATGCCCCAGCAGCCTCCACTGGCTCCTTTCGCTGTGGATGGCAACAACTCTACTCTTAGCTTCTCCTGAGTAACTGAGCTACTCACCCAATCTCCAAGGGTTTGCCCAGCCACCCTGCGAAGGAAACTCATTTCGGCCTTTTGGTCATTACTGCCATGGTTTTGGTTCTGTTTAAGTTTTATCGTTGAGTTTTCATTGGTTTTATTTTTGATTGTATTTAAGTTCTTAGGTATCTCTTTTTTGCCCTCTGTTGCCCTCTTGTGTCAGTCTCCTTTTCCCTAGCTCCGTTCTAGACCCATCTGTTCACACCTGCTCCCAATTTGCTGATTAGCCTGGTCTTTTTTTCTCTCTCCCATATGTGCACCTCCTGCTCAGTCACTGTGGATGCTTTATCTTAATTTATTTGCCCTTGTTGTGAATATTCCTGGTTTTCGGTATTTTGTGGATTTTTTTGTTTTTGTTTCTGGATTTTTGCTTCTTTTGCCCTTTTTTGTTAATTCAATCTTGCAAGAAACCATCTCAGCTTCAGTCTCTGCATTTGGGTCATCTTCAAACCTGGTCCCACACTTGGCTGCAAACCACCCCAGTGCACGCTAAAGGTCCTGGGTTTCTTTAATCCAACTTTTTTAATGTTCTTTTTTTGTTTCTGCATTTTTTATTTATTTATTTTTTCCTACTTGCTTTGATTCTGTTTTATTTTCCTATATTTTAATAATTTAAAGCACTTTGAATTGTCTTTGTACAGAATTATGCAATACAAATCAATTTGCCTTGCCTTGCCTACAAAAAAAAACAATTTAAGGTGAGATCGCCACACGCTTAAAAAACAAACAAAAAGCAATTAATTAAATTTTATTTTTGTACATGACCAAAGGGATACATGCCTGTTGATGTAGTTTCAAGTTTATTTTTCATACAATACTAAAGGAAAAAACTAAAGGGATACACTAAAGGGATAAATAGGTATTGACTATGGGTATGCTGGTCTGACTGGGTTTGCTCATCTGACAGAACACAGGTACCTCTCAGCTGATTGCAGCTGACTGATGTTTCTTGTTATCTAAAAGGAAAAAGTTCATAATCTTAAAGGACTAGCATTTCTTTATCGTATCACGAACACACCATATAGACTATAGTGCATAAGCATCATAACACAAATAATTCTAATTCTATTTTTTTTTTTTTTTATTATTGCCAAAGGGCCAAATCTGCTGGTAACATTTTAACAGAGTTACTTACTTTCAATCTTAAAAAAAAAAAAAAAAAAAAAAAAACAGTTTTTGTTTTATCACTCACCAGCTGGTGGCATATGTTTACCATTTTTCAAAATCTCATTTCCTGTTTCTCAGGAAACTATGACACAACTTCAAGTGAAGTGAGAAAAGGACCCCACTTTCACCGCAAACACAAGAGGCAGATCTATTGATAAACATGTCCCAGGAGATACTGTTCATCATTGTAAGTCATATTTTTTTCATCATCCCTATCAAAATCAAAATGGTCTGCTCAGCAATGTTTTTTACCGTTCTCTGTTTCTGGTTTGCTCTTCTCAGATGTTGCTGGTGCATCACACAACACAGAGTCAGAGAGAAGTTATAAAGGATTGCAATGAAGATGTTCTGCTTGAGGGTCCAGTTAGCAGGAACAAAGCCTTGGATTTTTTCTCATTCACATGGTATAAGGTCTGTTCTATCCAGCCAAAAAATTCTGAAAAGTGTGAGCTATCTGTCACTGTACACTGCCTTATAAGAGATTCATATAAAAAAAATCATCCTTTTGGTTGTTGTTTTAAACAGGGAGAAGCAGCTATCATCAGGATGCGTAAAGATAAACCACAGGCCTTCAATTTCTCTCGGGAGGCAAAGTTTGGCGAGAACCTGAGTCTAATTTTGCCGTTAGTGAAGCCTGAGGATTCTGGCACCTACAAATATAAGATCGTAGCAAACGTTGGAGGTCAAAACGAGGAAGGCACTGTCACTCTAAGGGTTAACGGTAAGCTTTAAATGTATTATAAATATACGTAACAGAACATATACATAACATATACGTAACAGAAACCATAATGCTATAGTCACTCAATCAAAAATGTACAGTATCGAGTCCTTCATTTTTTCTATGTGATTATTTGAAAAATAATCAGTTTGTAACATCGAAATGATGTGCCTTGATATTTTTGTATTTTTTCTTGCTTTTTAAGGTGATGCATGTCCCAACATTGAGACAACAGAAGAATCGATTATGCATTGAACAAAAGGATTTGAAAACAGAAGATGAAATAAATCAAAAGTCATGTTTGTTATGCTCCTGTTATTTCGCAAGAACTACAGAGGCATGGTTGTATGAAAGGGTTTCCACTGAGAGGAACAGAAACCACATAGTCTGCAATTTCCCTGCCAATCTCTGTTCCTGAGCAAAAACATTTGCACCAGAAAGATCTTTGGGTGCTACACAACGGCAGTCTGCTCCTCCCAACAGAAACGATTAAATGAAAAAGACATTTTTTTATTGCAATGTATGGAGCTTGAAATGAAAAATAAAGTTGGGTATTACTATTTGACTCCATAACCAGCCTTGTTTCTTGAGTAGAGGAGATTAGGTCCTGTACCTGTCTGATGCACTAACCCTCTTTCCTTCTGGACGCAGGTAGGCGCACGGCACAGAAACCAAATCCCCCTTGACACAAACATACCTATTGTATTATAGCTTCTACAATACTAGGGGGAATCTGGGAAAGGGAAGTGAGTCTAATTGGCCTAGCTTAAAAAAAATAAAGGATAGCACGCGCAACATTTTGTCTAGATTAAAGGCCTTTGGGGATGAAGTGTTTCAGCCAAAGACAGTTCATCTCAGAGAGATTGAGCTGGGAAACTACTGCATCCTATTATTCTTTTTTACTGTTTGATGACAAAATTCATGTTATCAGGAAGCATATTTGGCATTAAATGGCATTAAATTTTGAAGAATTAATTTCAAATAATCACATAACTCAGTTTGTAACATCAAAATGATGTGCCTTGATATTTTTTGTCTTTTTTCTTGCTTTTTAAGGTGATGCATGTCCCACTATCGAGACAACAGAAGAATCGATTATGCATTGAACAGAAGGATTTCAAAAAAGAAAATGAAATAAATCAAAAGTCATGTTTGTTATGCTCCAGTTATTTCGCAAGAACTACAGAGGCATGGTTGTATGACAGGGTTTCCACAGAGAGGAACAGAAACCATAATGCTATAGTCACACTCAATGTCAAAAATGTATAGAGTCCTTCATTTTTTCTGCTTTAGGTTTCTGATCATCCACCTTTTAAAGACGTTCAATTATCTCTACTGGATTCTTAGAGTAATTAGGTCTCTAGCTTAAGTTTGGTGATATGTTTGATTATATATATTGATGTTTAAATATATGTTTATGTGTTTGAGTCTTTCTTAGTTTAATCAATGTGTTTGAAATAAATGTAATGTTTCTTGCTGGCTGTTTAACAAAAATTAAACATTGTTGACTGGCTCTTTGGTTCAGGATATTCCTTTCTATCAAAGTAAACCAACTCTTGTAATGCTGTTTCATTCATCGTTGTCATGCTTATAGTGGCATTTTTGCTTGATTCATGCATGTCTGAGTAATCATCATGAATTCATTTTAAAACCATTTAAAACAAGTAAAAAAAAAAAAACATGTGCTAATTACTTTTGTTCCATTGCTTATTTAGAGGTAAAGGTGAGCTGATGCAGTTATTGTTCTCACATAAGCATTTCAGCTCCTTACTTAAATAAAAACCTGCCATCAAATCCACTTCAGGTGAAAAAACGAACCATTACAATTTAAGTCATAGCTGGAAGGACAGTTTATAAGCCACAGCTTGGTGGGGAAATGTGACAAGACCACCATCTGGTGGTTAATCCACACGTCTTTTAACATCACCCAAGTGAGAGTTAACTTTGTGACGAGGAGATAGTCATGACAAAACATATTTTGGTTTTGCTAAAGGTTGCATGTGGACTTACGAAATTAATTCATATTCCTTTAGGCTCTTTTTGTTAAGAGCATCACCTCTGCTACCAGGATTTCAATGTAAATTTGAGGAATGGTGGCTTGAATCCAGGGAAGTCTGCAATTTCCCTGCCAATCTCTGTTTCTGAGCAAAAACGTTTGCACCAGAAAGATCTTTGGGTGCTACACAATGGCAGTCCGCTTCTCCCAGCATAAAAGATTCCATGAAAAAGACATTTTTGTATGGAGCTTGAAATAAAAATAAAGTTGAGCATTACTATTTGACTCCATAACCAGCCTTATTTCTTGAGTAGAAGAGATTAGGTCCTGTACCTGACCGATGCACTAACCCTCTTTCCTTCTGGAAGCAGGTAGGTGCACGGCACAGAAACCAAATCCCACTTGACACAAACATACATATTGTATTATAGCTTCTACAATACTAGGCGGAATCTGGGAAAGGGAAGTGAGTCTGGCCTAGCTTAAAAAAAAATAAAGGATAGAATGCGCAACATTTTGTCTAGATTATATTCTGTGCCTATAAAGGACAATCTTATTTGTCTTTGTTCATGATCAATAAAAGAACAGTCGTAAAACTGTAGTATTTCTAATGCTTTACTTGGACTGATAAGCTTTTTAGAGAAATTGTTTTCTTTACAAGATCTTTATAATAAATTTTAACATAAAAAATATATAATGTATGTTTTGGATTATTTCACATTCTATAATGTAGTGTTTGTATTGATTAAATGTGCATATTCATTACACATATTTTGATAAGATCTTTGTAGAACAGTGCAATTCCTTGATATTTGTGTTGAGCTAAGAACAATAGGATCCAGTATTACAGGCGTACAAACAGATTTCTCAAAGTGTTTATTAGTAACGAAACCGAAGATAGCACCTCTACAGGAGGAGAAAATAGGTTATTGACCACGTATGTCTGGAAGTGGATGAAAACGGACGTGTGAGTGACTAACCTGGTCTTATAGTTCAGTCCAGGGTCAGAGGGTGAGGTTGGTTCCGGCCTGTCATCAGCTTTCAGAACCAGGAGATCCAAGATCCAAAGACTTGTACGGTACAAAGGCAGACAGGGATCCGGCAGGAGTCAGAAGACGGGTCGGGTTAACAGATCAGATGGGGACAGGCATGCTAAGAGGTTGAGAGGCAGAAAAGGTCAGGATCAGGCAATCAGAATTCAGGAAGGCTTGAATACTTCTCACCAATGGCTCAAAATAATTTGGCACTGATGAATGGTCTGAAGGCTGGTTAAATAGAGACTGAAGCAGTTGGATCAGATGAGCGGTAATGAGAACTGGACTGAGATATTTGAAGGAGTTAGATAAACTTTTACACCACAGATGAAAGATTTGATTAATTTTGTTGTCTTCTACAGGTATGGAGAAATTACAATTTCACATTAAGTCTAATATACAACAATCAAATCCTCTAAAATGTAATTCCCACTCTAAATAGCCAAGGCTATAATAAGGTGGCTGAAAAAAATCTAATTTTTCTCTCTTATACAGTTGTAAAAATTCTTTGCCTTCACCTCTGCAGAACTGGTTTCTTTTCAGTGAGGAACTGTGCTTTGGTGACTAGGGAATTGAAAAGATCTCACTCTTCGTTTTTTACTAAGTAACTGCTAATAATAACCATAGGTTTTCACCCTCCCCTGTCAAAGACGTCAACACAAACACAGCTGGCCCAAAGGCTAAAATTACAGTATTTTATAGGCTAGCAAAACATTAATCATAGCTGATTTTTGTGTATGATAATGTTTCCACATTGGCAGGTTTTTTCCCCCTAATCAGTTCTCAGTTCCCTAATCATATCTGGCTAATGGAAATGTTAAAAATGTCTATAATGTCTGTTATCATCCTTAAGGGGACCTTTTTTGGCTGTAATTTACACCAGGTATGGGGTCTCTGTCCAACAGAGTTACCCAACTCTTAAAACAACAAATAACCTTTTCTGATCACTTTTCTCTAATCTGTTCAGAGACACATAGGCCAACATTGGCAATACTCACAGTCATCTAAGGTTAGAGGCAATGTCTAATATAACAATCATTTCTAAGAGGTGGTTGTAAGCTTGAACTTAAAAGTCAGTAGGTTTAGCCTGGAATGTTGTCTTCACTGTAGGCTATACATTTTTCACTGTGAATTTACAGTTAATTGATAATGTAATGCAACATAAGTGTTGCATTACTTTCAGAGTAAGTAGTTCACTGGGAATCATACTGACAATTTACTGTCATTTTAAAGCCCTGATATTACAATACAGTGTTGTGAAAGCACAACTGTATACATAGCTTTAAAGCTTCCTTAAAGAAATCTATTATCTTGATATTACAATACCTTACTGTGAAATTACAGCATTTTGCTGCACATTAGTACAAGAAGGCCCTGGACTTTTACACTGTGCATTGTGAAATTAATGTACAAGTTCACAATAATTAACAGTGAATTTGCAGTATATATTTCGCTAAATTTGACCAGCAATATAATGTGAAAGTAATGCAAATGAATACATTTACTGTGAATTTACAATCATTGTTCATTACATTCTAGAATGATATGTAGAGTTCATTACATTCGGTTAAATGAAAATGACAAGGTTTCAATATTTTTAATTATTGATGTTGTGATTGAAAGTTGATTGCTATAACTGAACTTACTACCGACTGAGAAGGGCAGTGATGACACAGAGGTTTAAATACTTTCTAATAAATAGTTTAATCCTGTAACTTTAACTGTTATATTTGTGTGACAACTTTATTGAAACGTAATTTTAAACTGAACATTTTACATTGGGAATTGAAACTTAGGGGCTTTTATTCTAGTCGAGTAACACAGGGAAATGGACTTCCAAGTGCAAAGGCAACACATCCTGATTCGCCCAGCCACCCTGCGAAGGAAACTAATTTCGGCCTTTTGGTCATTACTGCCATGGTTTTGGTTCTGTTTAAGTTTTATCGTTGAGTTTTCATTGGTTTTATTTTTGATTGTATTTAAGTTCTTAGGTATCTCTTGTTTGCCCTCTGTTGCCCTCTTGTGTCAGTCTCCTTTTCCCTAGCTCCCTTCTAGACCCATCTGTTCACACCTGCTCCCAATTTGCTGATTAGCCAGGTCTTTTTTTCTCTCCCCCATATGTGCACCTCCTGCTCAGTCACTGTGGATGCTTTATCTTAATTTCTTTGCCCTTGTTGTGAATATTCCTGGTTTTCCGTATTTTGTGGATTTTCTTTTTTTGTTTCTGGATTTTTGCTTCTGTTGCCCTTTTTAGTTAATTCAATCTTGCAAGAAACCATCTCAGCTTCAGTCTCTGCATTTGGGTCCTCTTCAAACCTGGTCCCACACTTGGCTGCAAACCGCCCCAGTGCACGCTAAAGGTCCTGGGTTTCTTTAATCCAACTTTTTTAATGTTCTTTTTTGTTTCTGCATTTTTTATTTATTTATTTTTTCCTACTTGCTTTGATTCTGTTTTATTTTCTGTATTTTAATAATTTAAAGCACTTTGCATTGTCTTTGTACTGAATTATGCAATACAAATCAATTTGCCTTGCCTTGCCTACAAAAAAAAACTATTTAAGGTGTGATCGCCATACGCTTAAAAAACAAACAAAAAGCAATTAATTAAATTTTATTTTTGTACATGACCAAAGGGATACATGCCCGTTGATGTAGTTTCAAGTTTATTTTTCATACAATACTAAAGAAAAAAACTAAAAGGATACACTAAAGGGATAAATGGGTGTTGACTATGGGTATGCTGGTCTGACTGGGTTTGCTCATCTGACAGAACACAGGTACCTCTCAGCTGATTCCAGCTGACTGATGTTTCTTGTTATCTAAAAGGAAAAAGTTCATAATCTTAAAGGACTAGCATTTCTTTATCGTATCACGAACACACCATATAGACCAGGGGTGTCAAACTCATTTTCACTGAGGGCCACATCAGAGTAATTGCTGTCCTTAAAGGGCCAGATGTAACTTATAAATGTAACTAAATGTAATTGAATGTAATGTGAAATAAATGTAACGACTCCTTAATGTTAAATAACTCTTTATTAATTATAACTTATTCAAGTGACAATTACAGTTGCATAGAAAACATATGCTTGCTTGTTCCTCTAACACACACATGTCACACAGCCGCTTCCTACCTAGTCCTTCTCATCGGTCTCTCCCCCTCCGCCCGAATCACTATCATCGATATTTTGAAGCATTTCTAAAACCTGTTTCGCTGTTAGGTTTCTTCTGAACGCCACTTTTTCCATATTAGCCAAAAAGTTCTAGGTAGAATGTTGGTTGCTAGGCAACGGTACCAATCGTCAATCAACCGCGGGAAGAATTTACAATGCAACTAATAGAGCCGTCAAAATGGCGGTTGTGGGGGATCGAGGTAGAATTAACCATATTTATTTTTTACGTTTTAATTGTATAAAAAAAAAAAAAGTGAAAATGAAGGAAATTTAGAATCAGGAAAATTGAGTTAACATGAGCAACATAAATTTAATTTTAAATATAGTTCTTTCCCTTTAAAATCTCAGAACCATCAAAATGACGGCTGTGGGAGTTCTAGCGGGCCACATAAAATGACGTGGCGGGCCACATCTGGCCCGCGGGCCTTGAGTTTGACACATGTGATATAGACTATAGTGCATAAGCATCATAATATAAATAATTAATTCTAATTTTTTTCATTGCCAAAGGGCCAAATCTGCTGGTAACATTTTAACAGAGTTACTTACTTTCAATCTTAAAAACAAAAACAGAACAGTTTTTGTTTTATCACTCACCAGCTGGTGGCATATGTTTACCATTTTTCAAAATCTCATTTCCTGTTTCTCAGGAAACTATGACACAACTTCAAGTGAAGTGATAAAAAGACCCCACTTTCACCGCAAACACAAGAGGCAGATCTATTGATAAACATGTCCCAGGAGATTCTGTTCATCATTGTAAGTCATATTTTTTTCATCATCCCGATCAAAATCAAAATGGTCTGCTCAGCAATGTTTTTTACCGTTCTCTGTTTCTGGTTTGCTCTTCTCAGATGTTGCTGGTGCATCACACAACACAGAGTCAGAGAGAAGTTATAAAGGATTGCGATGAAGATGTTCTGCTTGAGGGTCCAGTCAGCAGAAACAAAGCCTTGGATTTTTACTCATTCACATGGTATAAGGTCTGTTCTATCCAGCCAAAAAATTCTGAAAAGTGTGAGCTATCTGTCACTGTACACTGCCTTATAAGAGATTCATAAAAAAAATATCTTCCTTTTGCTTGTTGTTTAAAACAGGGAGAAGCAGCTATCATCAGGATGCGTAAAGATAAACCACAGGCCTTCAATTTCTCTCGGGAGGCAAAGTTTGGCGAGAACCTGAGTCTAATTTTGCCGTTAGTGAAGCCTGAAGATTCTGGCACCTACAAATATAAGATCGTAGCAAACGTTGGAGGTCAAAACGAGGAAGGCACTGTCACTCTAAGGGTTAAAGGTAAGCTTTAAATGTATTATAAATATACGTGACACTTCAGAAATCCTAAAGATCAGCTTAGAATAAAGGTAAAACAAAGTTATGATTGTAAAAGGACTCTGTGGATTTCATATTTTGTTTTGTTCATCATTAGTTGACTTTATTATTATTACCACCTAAAAATGTAAAATTAGGCTAGAAATAGATTTGGGTTACGTCCAAGGTAACAAAACAAACTCAGCCTCTGAGGAAATTCATGAATAATTTTATATTTATTATCAAAAGTTATCTTGGTTAGGGAGGGGCTATATGAACTTTCTTTTAAATTTTTATCACTTTTTTCTTTACTTTATTCTTTATTTTACTGACCGCACTGAATGGCTTTGACTGCATACTTTTTATGGCAGCAAATGCATCAAAAAGTTGATTTATTGTCACGGAATTGCACATGGTAAATACATTTAATCACATTTTTGAATGTATATTAACTTTTGTTTATTTTTTTCTCTTAGTTTTTAGACTTACTCAACAAATGACATTATTAATAAGAATTTGGTTCAAAAATTTGAACGCATTTAAGGATTTTCTGCACCCTTATGGCATTAATTGGAAAGACCAAGGCTCAGTTAACAGGCAGAATCCAAAATACTCAATGCACATCTAAAAAGCAGAACTGCTGATTTAAATCTGTTTAGAAGATATTTTGATGTCGAATTCAAACAGCTGCAGATAGATAAATAATAAATAATTTTGCGAAACCAAAATTCAAACAGGTCAAGAAAAAGATTCAAATCATAACCTTCAGATGAAACGTAATGGTTTTATGCCACATTGAAGAGGATTTAAAAGTCAATATAGCCTGGAAACCTGCTGACCAGGAAGGATGCCTCAGCTCAAAGGCTGACAGGTTCAATACTGAATGGCATTTGTTGCCGACATGGACAAGACTTATTACTTAAAATAAATTCAAAATACTTAATTATTCCCAAAGATAAATTAAATGTTGTAACTCATAATGTAGGTGTTTCTTAATTTAATTGTTTGTGAAGCTAATGGCTGGAGGCAAAAAGAATGGTCCGTTTTATGTTTGGTGGTTGTTCTGAAATAAGAGCTTAATGAGAAAAACATTTTCTAAAGAAAAATGTCATTACCATGCAAGACATAGTTTAAGCTCTTGGAACACAAATACTAAAAATATGTCTTCAAGATGAAAGAGGAGGCTTTAAAACATTAATTGTACTAATTGTCAAACTAAGTAGTGGTAGTCTGATGCAGGACTGTTTCAGTGTAAACTGCAATGAATCACTCTGAAAAGTGGATGAATGAATGTTGAATGGATGCCCTGAAATATCCAACCTCACTTTAAATGATCAACCAGACAGCTTAGACTTGGATTCAATGTGTTCCAGCAGGACAATGCAGACTGTTTGCGAAAAACCAAATGAAAGGGATAATATATCAGAAAATGTATATATATATATATATATATATATATATGTTTAAAATTGGAATTTAAAATTTTTATCTGAATTCTTGCTTTTGAGTAATCACTCAACTTTATTGCCCTGAAAAAAAGCAGGAAGCAGTGCAAAGTAGTCAAAAAAAGTTCAAAGGTACTAAAATAAATGTAAAGGTAATATAAGAATGTAAGCTTTTTACTGTTGCTAGGGAATTAAAACTACAATGTTGAAATAGCTTTTATTTTGAACCAGAACACATCCAGCCACATCAAAAAGCAGGAAACGTTCCGAGACATCCATCTCACAAAAACAAGATCTGCTTCATTTTGCTGTCATTTCAGAAATTTCCATCCTTATTCATCTATAAATTCAAGCAAGTTGTCAAACAGGAAACTCTCTGAGATCAATTATTTAAGAGATTCTACAAAAATCTATCTCCTTTTAGCTTTAAAGATACACTTATTGTTAACTTTTGCATACTACTGATGAAAAAGGAATTATTTTTTTTATTTTATTTGCTGTTGTCCAAATGCAGAGTGTGTGACCCAGACTAATCCAACCACAGCAACAGCAACAACAACACCGAACTCAACCCAGTCCAACCTGCCTTTAGATGTCCAGGAGTTTCCACCACATTGGAGTTTAGCAGGCTACCTATTAGTGGCCATTGCAAAAATTCTTCTATCTCTGACCTGTATTCAGGTAAAATACTTGTTTTTCTTATACTTTATTTTGTTTGAGGGGAATGATTTGCTTTGCTGAAAAAACTAAGAAAACGACATATGTAAGAGCTTCCTAATGAAAAAGACATGATGGGAGAAATGGATTTAGTATTACATTGACAGAATCAAACACTAAAGAAAAACAGCACAATTTATTTTCTTTATGTTTGACAAATATGTTTTATTTAATTAATTAAGAGCTTGGTTAGAATTGGTGACTTACCTTAAGACATATGAAAACCTACGTTTTTCCAATCCATAAAGCTGGGAGGTGGTTCTGCTGTAAGAAAATGTTAAAATACTTTTTCTTTGTTCATTTTAGGTGGAATTAACATGTTTATAATACAATTACATGTAGTGTAGGAACAGCTGCAAATTAAAACAAAGGAAAAAAACATATAACTGTGTTTACTTTGAAGCTTCAGCAATGTAGGTGTTTATCATAAGAAATGTTTCAGCCTGGTAAACAGATGGTAAAAAGCTAATTGATTATTACAGACTTGAGAAAACCCCATTATAGCTTGCATAGCCCACACAGTTCTCATATATGGAGGTTCAATAGTTGATAGACCGATGGCAGCAGACAAATTTAGGCTTCAGAAAGTAGAAATCTTTCTTGATTTTCCATCATTCTGGTTATCCAACCAGTTTTTTGTGCTGCAAATCCAGTCACATCATTCTGGTGTGAACCGACAACCCCTCACTCTTCAATATTTAGCATATAATTTGTTGCTGTAACAACATCAAATCAAGAAAAAAATATTTTATTCATCCCAGAATTAATTCAAATCATCCAGTTATTTACATAACCAAAGTTATATAAATGCCATTTATAAGGATTTATGACACAAATACCTTCAGCTTACACCCCATCCTCCATTTAACCACAAACAGCACAGTGTATTGAGAAGGACTGTTTCCTGGTGTAACCTCTAGCTTACTGGCTTTTTCCTCTTATTTACACAGACATATACACATATATACACACACACATATATGGGGAGGTACTGTTTCATATAGTTCTTACTTGTTGCCAGGGGCGCCATATGGGGGGTGAAAAATGTAGGACGATTCTAAGGGCCCTTGACTGAGGGGGTGTCCAAAAGAAGAAGAGAAGATTTGTCCCACTATATTTTTCAAATATGAAAAGAAAATTCAGCAGTAAAATAAATAATCTTCATTTTCTCCCTAATTTTTCAGCAGTAAACAGTGAAACAAAGCATGAATATATTGACACCCCACCTCCAGTGAAATTGCAATAAAGCGCCCCTGCTTGTTGCCTATCAGTTGGAACTAAGAATAGTTGCCCACAAGTATCCGTTAATACAGACGTAGAGCTTTAGATATTTACAGCTTTATTTACAGCCATACAGCATGGGTGATGTTATCATGGTTGTGACTCACAAAGAAATACTGTTGAGGTAAAACTGCAACAGTTATTGTTTAGCGATGAAACCCTTGTGGTAAACACCAAATCTCCACAGAGCCCAAGAGTTGATCTCAAAGATACTTACACTGTTTCTCTTATCCTTCTGATGAAAAACTATTGATAATTTTCAGAAAAAGACACATTTGTGCTGAATTCCCTAACTGGAATTTTTTTCCCCCAAGTCTCTCTTTCTTTATACATTTCAGAAACATTTAAGGAAAATATAGATTTTTTTGACTGATTTAAAACAAAACATTGAAATAATGCAAGGAAAAATTCAACAAAAAATTGTGGTGTCAATGAGGAAAACACTTTTAAAAGGTTACGTGGAATTTACGCAATAGGTTTAACAACAGCGTTTCTAGCACCTTAACCGCTATGTAGGACAGTGACAACTCCTGCAAGAGTGTTAACTTGTGTAGGGGGTCTTGCTCCTAAAGTAAAGCATCGTATTTTCATTGTGCTGCAGCTCCCAAGCAAGTTTTGCATTGATCAGGTTTAAATAGGTGGTCTTCTTCTCAGTTTCTTTCACCACATGATGTGCCTTACTATTATGATTTTTCTTTTTCCTTGCTGTTTAAGATGATGCATGTCATATCAACGAGGCGAGAGAAGAATAGATTATACAGCTGACAGAAGAATTCCTGTGGAAAGAGAAAACACATCTCAAGAAAAATGTTTGCTGTTTTAATTTCTTTTTTAAATCAATGTGGGTGTTTTTGTTTTCTATATTTTGTCTTATGTCCATGCTTTGTTTAACAATGTCATCCTGTTTAACCACAATGTGGCTTTATATTTTTAGGGTCAGCAGAGACCTACAGGATATCAGGGTTTTTATTTAGAGCAACTGAAACAGTAACATTTTAGTCACACTGTTATATCCATTTCAAATGCCTATACACTGTACATGTAGCATCACATTTTTTACTTTTTCTTTCTTATCCTCCACCTGCTACCTTGAAGATACTATTGCTGGATTAATGCAATGGATTACAATGAAAGGTTCTGTGATAAGGGAAAAGGTTTATATAGTGTTAAAGGGGAACACCGTTGTTTTTACATTGGCCCCTTGATTTTACGTTATTACATCATGTTCTACTCACATGGGAATCAAAAATACATTGCTGGAACAGTAAGTCTGAAACAAGCACGGTGGAAAGGGGAAAGGAATCGGTCAGGAGCGGAACTATGGTCAGAGACCCAAGGCTGCCAGTTGGGAACTTGATCCACAGAATGGGTATTTTCTGAGAGGTTATGGACACAGATGACTGGGAAGGCTTGGAAGAGGAACATTTTACGGCAATAACCCAGAGGTTACAAAGTGCAGAAAACAGAGCAAAAAAACAATCTTTTGTTTTCTTTTTTTTGGTCTTATTTTTCTGTGATTTGTTTAACCTTGTCACCCTGTTTAACCACAATGTCAACAAAAGCTGCATTCTTAAAATGAAAAAGCATTTCGGAAAATGCTTTTTCATTTGAAATATGGTAATGTTTTGCTTCCATATCCGCGGTTATATTTTTCATATTTATATCTTTTAAAAACAAAGCTGAGCGTGTATGACGTCATCCGCGCGCCAGACTGGAGTTGTGACACGCAGCCCGGGCCACAGGCGGCTACGCTCTACCCCTTCTATTCATTGGGCTAGCTAATCTGAATCGTTCAATTCCATTTCGGGAGGGAGATCATCTGTGGTAGTAGCACTAGACATCTTCCAGGCATGTGAGGAAAACTAGCAGCAGTTCAGCGGACAGGATGAATGAACGGTAGCCGGCGCACACGGATGACATCATACACACTCCGCTTTGTTTTTCAAAAATATAAAAAAAATTTTTTACCACGGATGTCTGGGAGACAGTGATTCGTTTACATGGTATGAATGCTGGCGTACCATAACGAATAAATTATGAACAGTTTAGTTTGTGCCTTCAACTTGTTTAGCGGCTATTTAGTTCAGAATTTTTCCATTCTTTAAACTCCAGAGAAAAGTTCCACTCTATAAATGAGGACCTTTGACATTCCCAACCTAACTAAGCTTGTTTTAACTGTTAAACATGTAAACCAACCCGTTTACACAATAAAAATCTCCATTTATGTCTGAGTCACTGCTTAAAGCCCATCATAGTTTTGCTCATTTACAAGAAAAGACGGGGAGGGGATACAGTCATTGTTGTGGTGTAGGAGTATAACCTGCTCTGTGTAAAAAAAAAAAAAAGGAAAACGTACCAATGCCGTTATTGTTTAGGTCATAGCTTGAAACAGTTTTTTTTTTTTGAGGTCACAATGCTGAGGGGAAAATATTATGAGACCACAATCTGCGGGCCAACCTATGCTTTTTTCAATATTACCCAAATGACTTTTGACTTTATGACAGGGATATTTAGGAATAATATAACTTTGGGTCCAGCCAAAGATTGTTTTTGGCCTTAAGCAGAAATTAATCTGGTTCCTCTCTCTCTCAAAATCATAATTTGTAATACCAGCATTTCAAAGCAGATTTGAGGGGAAAGATGGTCTAGTATTTAGAATTGGTTGCTTGCTTCCTGGAAACTTTGCACGTTCTCTGACACTTTTCGTCCCTGAGCCAAATCTCTGCACCTGAGTGCTGTTGCTGCGAAAATGCAGCTCACTGCTCTACAATTGGTTAAAGGAAACAAACAGACTTTATTGCAATGTGCAAAGTTGCAGTGACAACTTACTTCTTGGTGCAATCTTGGAGAAGGGGCTGAGTCTAACTGACTTAGATTAAAGATGAATAACTATAGTTCAGTGGGTGAAATGGACGTACAGAGAAATTCAAACCCCATCGACACCTCCTTTCTCTGCAAATCTCACAATTCTAACATTCCACCATAAAATGGGTGAAGCCAAACAAAGCACCAAGTTAACGTCAATTCGGCGATGGTGCCTTATTTAATTCTGGCCTGTACTTTTGTCACGCCCTGAAATTGACATACAGACCAGCCCACTGGTTCACTATCCAGAGAACATGAATAGAGGTAGATGTAAGACACCAGTTTAGCTGTTTAGCCTACAGTTGGGTTTACTTCTACAAGAATCACAAAGCAGGCAGTTTCTCTATTGAAAATGAGCCAGAACCATGGGCGTAAATCTAGTGTTCCAGGCTGCACAGACAAAGGGAATATTTTTCAATCTTCCCAAGGATCTGAAGACTCCACATGCATGGATTACTTTTGTCTCAACAATTTACCGTATATGTTTTAGTGAGTGAGTGCTTGTTGCTATGATGCATCTTTACTCAGCAGCTTCACTCGTATACCAACGAATCAGCCCACATCTAAATATTCATGAGCATACCAAAAAGGGAAAGAAACATGCCATTATATTTTTTGGGCTTATAACCAGGCTTGCATTAGGCCGCATAGAACAGGAAATATGCTATTTTGAGCCCAACCATTGTTACACACCCTATTCAGAGACCTTAAGGACCAGCACCAAATACCCTCTACAATCATTCTATGACCCCTTTAAAAGCAATCAGAGATTTGTTGAGAAAGACTTAAGCATATCAAGCTTAAAGATATTTAAATCCTAACTTCTGATTACAACTGTTAGTCTTTGCAATTTTAGACAGTTTGACAATATCTATGGACTCAGTATTTAAGTTTTAAATCTTAAATCTTTTAAATCTTCTTAAGTTATACATACAGAAACTTCGAAAATGTAATTATATAATCACCCTCTGTAGAAATAGAACATTTTAAATTTTAAATCTACAAGCATTGATGTGAGGTCCAGGTTTGGAGGCCTTAAAGGAATAGTACACCCAAAACATGAACATGCCTTCATTTTCTACTCACCCCCATGCTGAACAAAACTCTGGAGTACTTTTTTGATATCTCAAATGCATCTGGAAATCTGGGAGGCTTCTTGCTGTCTGCTGACATTCAAATAATGGAGGTCTATGGTGCCCGAGACAGAAAGGTCCATAAAAGTCCACAAAAAACGTGTCAATATTCCTCCATACTGCTCGTCCAATGTATTCCAAGTGTCCTGAGACGGTAGCGTCCATAATTTACTCGAAACGAAGTCATTTAGAATGTTTTTAGAGCATAAACAGTAGTGTATAGGATTTCCTAAAAGCGCGTTCACGAGTCTACGGAAACCGCGGCAGACCAAACCAGATGAAAGTGCGCATTCAGCTCGGCAAAGAACTCATGCTCTTCCTCAACACTGAAGTCCTCAGACATTTTTCTTTCGTTGTTTCTTTCTTTGCACAGGTAAACAGCACATTTCTTCTTCTACGCTTGCATTATCGGCAGAGCAGACGCTGAATGCGCACTTTCATCTGGTTTGGTCTGCCGCGGTTTCCGTAGACTCGTGAACACGCTTTTAGGAAATCCTATACACTACTGTTTATGCTCTAAAAACATTCTAAATTACTTCGTTTCGAGTATATTATGGACGCTACCGTCTCAGGACACTTGGAATAGATTGGACGAGCAGTATGGAGGAATATTGACACGTTTTTTGTGGACTTTTATGGACCTTTCTGCCTCGGGCGTTATGGACCTCCATTATTTGAATGTCAGCAGACAGCAAGAAGCCTCCCAGATCTCCAGATGCATTTGAGATATCAAAAAAGTACTCCAGAGTGTTTTTCAGCATGGGGGTAAGTAGAAAATGAAGGCTAATCATGTTTTGGGTGTACTATTCCTTTAAGCAGTGGCTTTTTTTACTTGTAGTAATCCAACGAACAAACTGATTTAAACAAACAACAGGAATTAAGGAGAAAACAAGAGAAGCAATAATCAAAAAACATTTCCTCAGCTCTTCCTATCATATTTAATATCTAAACCCTAAAATAAGATTTTTGCAGACAAATTTTGCTAGGCAAATTTTGACATTTTAGTTCAAATATTTCTGCAGTATTTGACCTGTTTTAGTGCTGCCCTCTAATGGTTGGAAAATGTCTGCTGCAGTCAAAATTTTCTATAGGTCAAAATGGTACATTTCTATGACTCAATCCTGTAATAACTTTATGTTGTATTAAACTAAAGTTTGATTCAATTTCAAATTCGAGTCAAACTGTTACTCTGCACATATATGGGATAAAGTCACAATAGCTTCAATACAAAATATAAGAATTTATTAACAAAAGTAATAAAACTTAAAGTCAAACATAGCCTATTTCACAAGATAATCAAATGTCCATGTGGTCTAGTGCAGTGTGATTTCTAAAACTTGCTTTTGGTTGTAAAATGCATCCTTAACTTTGGACATTTTTATCTTTGCACTATGTATAGGGTTCAGACATATCTATACATGACAATAGAAGAAGCTTGAACACAGGCCAGGGTGTTTGGATTGTGTCCATGGTGCTTTTCCTTTTCTTTATTGAGAAATACCAACTATATTGAATCAGGATCATTCTGCCATTTGTAGAGCCTAATGCATTTTATCTTCCCTTTGATGTACGCATTTAAATAATTCTGTCCAAAGTACACAATACCAGTAGCATTTTTTCATGACTGCATGAATGCATGAAGCTGGCACATGACCTCCCTTCAACGTTGAAATTGGATTCAGATGTGATCAAAACTATGTTGGTTATGGACTCAAATGTTAAAACAATTATTATTATTAAATAGTAGTAAAAAGGTTAAAATGCTTATTAATCAAAGTCGAAATTTCAGCTTAAATCAACATGCTTAACATTATATATTTTTAATATTTCACCACTTCTTATGTATAATTGTGGTAATATTATGTGTTGAAAATGAATTGTCTCTTGACCAGACGGGATACAAAACATTAGGTACCTTAAAATTGGAAAAGCTATAAAGTGTACATTTTTCATTTGAAAAGGGAGATCCTGAAACAATGCTACAGTATTACTATTGATACATTATTCACAATCAAAGCATACTTCAATGTTGATTCAACCATGACTTATACACTGATTAAACGGTAAATTAACTTGGAATTTCCAGCTTCACATCTCAGTGGCTTATTTTTACCATCAACAATATCCTACTCTGCATTCTCCGCACCCACAACCCGAGTATCATGTCTTAACTTTAAAAAATTCTTTATGAAATGATTAATTTTTATATATTTACTTTTTTATGTTAATTACGCAAAAGGTCTTTTTTTCACTGTATGATTACATACATATATAAATCATTACATACTTGTTTTTTTTTTTTGTTATACTGTGATATATTATTAAAACTGTAAAAGGTATACAATGAAAGCAATAAAGTGTTCACAATGTAAAATTATATGAATGAGTGATATGTTTCTCTTTTTTTTCCACCTTGCAACTGCTCTACTCTGTGCTTCCACAGCTGACATTAGAATAAAATTGCAAAAAAGAAAAAAAGAAAAAAACTTTAGGTATCCTTATTTGTTTTGCTTCTTTATTAGGTTAAAAGATGCACAGTAAACAATAATACTTTAAAAAAATTCAACTTGAACCATTACAATCTGGCCATATGTGCCACAGACGTCCGTCACTCAGTCCTACTCGGCAAAACCCCAATTTTAAAAAGCCTTAAATATCACTCAAGCATCTCAGGCAT